AAGCATACAAAAGACTGCAGCCTGACTGACATCTGACTGCAACCTCCTGAGACCGAGTCAGAACTACTCTGTTTGCAAATTCCTGACCCAAAGCATCTGTGTGATATAATAAATATTGGGGGATAATTAATTATACTGCAATAGATAATTAACACATGTCTAAAATATCCTTTTTTTCCATGATAATTTTTTTTTGCAGCTGGCTGTTATGGGGATCTGAACCCTTCACTTGGTGTTATAACACTGCGCTCTAACCAAATGAGCTAACCAGCCAGCCCCGCCATGATAAAATTTTAAAAAGTTTCTGTAGAATAGTTCAATTCTTCTTCTTTTTGAACACCCTGCATTTGTTTCTCAGTGGCCATATCACGCTTTATGGGAGGCACTGAGATATCAGTAGTCAGCAGCCGGAACACCTGATGGCCCCCACCAAGTGACTCCAAACTAGCCAGTTGGCTGTGCCATTCCCAGGACTCCCCCCTTCCCAAGCAACTGGGGGTGGGGTGGAGTCAGGTTTCAGATCTGTTGGGGTCCTCACCCACCCGCAAGAGAAATCAGAGGGGAGGCCAAGTCCACGGCACCTGTTCATATGACATACTTTATTTCAAATCTACAACCATTAAAAACGCTTTGTAAGTTTACACTGTACAGTTATTCTCATGTCTGAAATAAGACACAGGCAGGGAGAGCCGGTGGATTGGACCGCAGTCGTCCTAGCACCCAATCCATCCTGGGAAGGAGCCTTTTGAAGACAGAGTGGGAAGGAGAGAACAGTGGACAAGAGAGGCAGACAGTTGGCCCAAGGATGCCCTTGGTCCCTTCCCTCCCAAGGGCCTTTCCCTGGGGGTTCCCCAGGGCCCACGGCTGCAGGACCCTCACCAGGAAACCAGGCTGAGCAGGAAGGGGACTTCACAGTTTTGGTGGGGGCTGGGGAGGGGGGCCAGGATGAGTAAAGGACAGCTTCTGGCTCTCTTCCCCAGTTGCTGGGGGTTGGAGCTGTTTTTTGGCACCGTCTACAAGGTGTCCCTGGGGTTGGGAGGGGGAGGGGGAGAAGGAGGAGGTGGGGATTTAAAATTCTTTCCGTGTGGAGTTAGGTTTCTTTCCATTTGAAGAGAGGCCATCTGGACTGTGGTGAGGTTCCCAAGGGATAAATGAACAGGGTCTTTGCCTCCTGTCCCCCCAGGACTCCTACCCCCTGCCTGCCTGGCACCACTCACCCAGCCTTTTCTAAGAACTAGATAAGTGGGAGAGGTGAGCAGGGCTGGAACCAAGCAGGATGGATGGGACAGACAAATGGAAGACGAAAACCCATAGGCTGGTTTTCTTGGAGGGGTCTCAATCTCAGGAATCCAGATGAGGTCGGTGTTTTCCACCTGTTCTTGGCCACAGCCAGCCCCAGACCCTCCTCAGGCTGCACTGTTAGCCTCAATCAGCAACTGGCAAACACTTGTGCATATCAGAATCATCTGGAAGGCTCATTAAAGCTTGTTGGGCCCCACTCCACGAGTTCTAATTAGGTGGGTCTTGGGTGTGGCCAATAATTTGCACTTCTATCATGTTCCCAGGTGATGCTCCTGCTGCTGGAACACAATGTGAGAACCACTGGCCTGGAACGGTGCACCCCAGTCACCTCATCCCCAGCAGCCTGGTGCCCGTAGGCTGGGCCACGGCTGACAAGGTACCATAATACCTGGGAAGCTGCCAGGAATGGTCTTGTGGTGAGGCCCCCTGTGCAGAGAAGTAAACTAAGGCACAGAGATCAGTGGCAGAGCCGAGACAGGGACCAGGATACTAGGAAGACCCAGTGGAGTAAGGATGGGGCTGCAGGACTCTGAAACATAAGGGGTGCTCTGGGGTCCCTAGGATTATCCTCGTACCCATCAGAGGACTGTAAGTCTAGGAAGGCCAGAAAAGGTAAGAGATCTGCCCAGACTTGGGCCAGGTCTCCAGGCTGCCAGCTGAGGTCCCTCTTCATGGGATTAGTCCAAGTGGCTTCAGAATGGAGTGTGACAAAGTAGGCATGCCCTGACAGTCTTAGACCTTCAAGGGTGTTTTGAGGAAACCAAAGCTCCTTTCCTTGGGGCATGGTGTTCAGAGAGTTGGTGAAGGGCAGGAAGGAAGGCAGCAGGACAGATGGGATAGACAGATGGAAGAGAAGGGTTCAAGGAGGGTAAGGCAGGGGTGGGCAGGGCAGACCGTGGGGAGGAGCCCTGAGCAGGGACTCAGGCTCAGCATCATGTCCTCAGTCTCCTTTGGATCTTGGGTCTGTGGATTTTGCAAACTGCAATGCTGTTGGGTTGAGAGGGGTAAGGGGCAGAGCCAGGATGAGCTGTTCTGGAGGTGGTGAGGCCCAGGGAGAACAGAGGGGATAGTTGGATATCAAATTGACAGACAGATGGATGGGTGACCAGAGAGAGGAGAGAACCCAAGTCAGGCTGCACCTGCTATGCAAGCAAAGCCATCCAGAACCAGGCAAGGCAGAGGAGGCCAGAGGGGGATCCAAGTCCACCCCCCCTCTGCCACACACACATCTGGTGGGAAGTGCTGGGTTTGCTGCTGGGAGGCTGTGGACAGAAAAGACAGTGTGACTCAAGATGGGGGATGTCTTTCCAGACTGGGGGGTTGCTGGGGTGGAGCGAGCCAAATGAGAAGGGCTGACAGGGAAGGGGCCCCCTTTTGGTGTGAGAAAACACCAAATAAAAGCAGAACCCAGGATACCACCAGATCTGAGAGCAAATATCGGAGTTGGGAGACCACAGGCAGAGGCACTTTCCTGACAGGGCGGGAATGTGATTTTGTGGGGCAGGAAGGGGGCTGCTGAGGTTACAGGAAAAACCACGGGAGGCAGCAGGGCTGGCGAGGACACCATGGGAGGATTGAGGGCTGGATGCTACAGTAAGCCCAGGGCCCAGCCCCCTCCATCTGCTGGTGGGATCCGGACAAGGAGGAGAAGGGAGGAGGAGGTAAAGCTTTGGATGAAGAGGATAAAAGAGAGGGTGGGTGGCAGGTAGGCAGCAAACAGACTGAGCCCAGACAGGAAGAGGCCCAACCACACCAGGGTCACAGAAAGGCAGGAAAATGTCTCCTTCACCACTAGTGTTGCAGAACCTGCGGGGTCAGGAAATCCGTGTTCTGCTCTTGGCTCTGCCTCTGGCTTGCTGGGTGACCTTGGGTGAATCAATCCCTTCTCTGGGCCTGATTCCTCATCTTAAAAAACGAGGGGGTGGGACACAAAAGGATAAATATTGTATGATTCCACTTACTGTATGATTCTACATGAAGTACCTAGAATAGGCCAATCCACAGAGAAAGTAGAATAGAGGTTACCAGGGGCTACGGGGAGGGGGGTGGAAAGTTATTGTGTAATGGGTGCAGAGTTTCAGTTTGGGATGATGAAAAAGTTCTGGAAATGGATGGTAATGATGGTTATACAACATTGTGAATATACTTAAGCCACTTAAAAATGATTAAAATGGTAAATTTTATGTTACATATATTTTGCCACAGTTAAAAAAAAAAAGTGAGGGGATTGGTGCAGATTATCTTGTGGTCTCCTTTCTAGTCATAAAGACTGATGAGGGAGGGGTCATCCCCCCCACTTCCAGGGCCTGGACACTGAGAGGCTAGCCTGGGGACAGCGAGTATGATCAGACCACTTCACATTTGTGTAGAACCTTATGCTTTTCCAAGTAGACTCCCAGGCACAGTATTGTATTTGGTCCTCACCACAGCCATGTGAGGTAAAAGGATATCCCCACTTTATAGCTGGGGAAACTGAGGCATGGAGAGACCAGCCACATGATCTGGCCAAGGTCACTGAAGTTGGTGGAAGTTTATTATGTTTTAAAACTAGTCACCTGGAAAACATCCTTGCATATTAGGTTCATCTGTTGAAACACCAACTGGCTCAGTGGCCTCTGAAGAAAGGACACATGCTATAAATTTGTAGCAGAAGAGCTTGTCTCCTGGGGCAAACCTGCTTACTTCTAATGGTTGGATGATGAGAATTATAAAATCCTGATGTATTTCTCTTTTTACCATGGTTGCCAGGAAACTCAAGAGTAAAATTTAATTACCTGATTATGGGAATTACATCAGGAAGATTTGGAGAATAAATAATTCATCTTGCTTTTTGACTTTGTTTTTGTTGAACACCTATTCTTATTGAACACTTACAACGAAGATTGTAGATTGCCTCTGATGCTTTCTGGAAATCCTCAGGGTAATTAAGCCAAATCAGAGCTTGGATGAGGATCAGGTCCCCTAGATCCCAGTCCGGGGCTCAGTGCTCTGAGATACAGCATGGTAGTTATTGGTTAAGAGAAAGATGGCTTAATGGACTGGGCCATGAACACAAATGGTGTGACCAGTGGTGCTTAGGATCCCCCTGGAAGTTTGTTAAACATGCAGATTCCTGACCCAGAAGGCTGAGGTGGGGCCCAGGAATCTGTATTTTGAGCATGCCTTCAGAGGATTCTGACACAAGGGGTCCCCAGACCATCCTCTGGAACACACAGGACCAGCGATTTGCAGTGGAGTTGTTACACATCTGGGTTGGGCAGTGACCAATTCTGGGGGTCCTGTGCCCACACAAAGGTCGCAGAGGGGCAGTGAGTTTGCAAAGCAAGCAGGACAGAGTTAGGCTGAGGGACCCAGTGGACCCAAGTTCTTATCTTAACTTGATGACTTCCCAGTTGGGTGCTCTGGGATGAGAGCTGGACCTCAGTTTCCTCATCTGCAAAATGGGAGCACTAAGCTGTGTCCTCCCAAGGCTGCCTCCCAGAGTTGTCCCTGAGAGGTCTGAAGGAGAGTTGGGATGGGAGGACAATTTCTAAATAGTAGAGTGTTCTAGACAGGACATGCAGGGGATTATTATTATTATTATTATTATTAACAAAGAGGTAGTGAAAGCTTCAGGAGCTGACGAGGCTGGAAAGGCAGCATTCTGGATGGGAAGGGAGAGGAAGAGCGAGCCTGGGTGTTGGGTGGGCTAGAGGAAAGAGGGTGGGTGATAAAACCATGAAAGGTGCAGGCATGATGGAGCCATGTTGGTGTCAGGGTGTAAGAGGGTCAAGTCTTTGGGCCCTTGACCTGGTCATCTGGGAGCAGCTGGGAGAAGAGTATCCCTGGTGAGACCAAGGGGTGAAGCCCCCTTTCGAGTTCATAGAAAGCAAGACCTCTTGAAGATCAGCCTTTGGTGGGGAAAGAAAAAGAGCGTGAGGGCTGGCAGGGAGACAGGGAATTAGATTCTGATGCCTTGTGCATGCAGGCCTCAGAGCCACTGATGCACCAAAGTGGTTTGATTTTCATTTCAAATACAGTCACCTTTGCCCCAGGGAGGATCTAATTTGGCTCTGGAAAGAGGTCAGACATAAGAAACATGAGGTTGCCCAGTTTAGGGTCAATCATGCCAACCAGTCCCCCATTTCCCCCCAACCAACTGATGCCAACCCCATGGACCTAAGCCAAGCACTCTTGGAGGGGATTGAGACCCCAGGGTTCCTTGGGACTTTGGTTGAAGAAAGAGTGGAGATGGGGAAAGAGAAAGAAGCTAGAGGAGGAAGAGAAGGAAGGGGCTGGGAGTAAAAGGTGGAGGGTGGCAGGAAGGGGAAGAAAGGGAAGAAAGAGAGCATTTCTTCTTGGGACCCCAACCTCCAGGGGAATCCCCACTGTGGGTCAGGCAGTTTTATGCTTTGGGAATGTTACCAAGACTTAAAAGGCATTTGAAGAAAAAAAACAAACTTAGAAATTACATTCCAAAAGAGAGAGTTTTTACAAACTAATCCCCCACCCCCTCAAAAAGAAAACACAGCCAGTTACCAAGTAAAATGCTAAAAATCAAACCAAATCAATATTTACACGTAACATCTTCAACCCCATCCAGCCCCACATCCCGAGGCTTCTGCAGGAACAGTGATGAGAGGCCTTGCACAGTGGCGTGCAGGAAGCAAAAACTGGGGCTCTACTGAAGACCAGCATCTGGCTGGGGGCCAGGCAGGCTGGGTGCTGAGAGAGCGAAGGTGGCAAGGACAGTCTCGGATGAGGATGATGTTAAGGCTGAGGGGTCCACAGGCCACAGGGTTCAGGTCACATGGGGATTTTCCCCCAAGGCTGGGAGCTCTGCCTCCCTGGTCCTCTGTAGCTCTGGGAGGTGGCAGAAGGCCTCTGGTGGCTTGTGGCCTGGTGTGAATCCCCTCACTTGAAGATAAGCTTGGAGGGGCCCCCTGACCTCTTGGGTGGGAACAGTGACATCCCAGAGGGGAACTGGCCCACTGGCCAGCCTGCAGTACCCAAGCAAGTCACTACGGCATAAGGAAGGGGCTGGTAGGACTGACATGACCCTGATGTTCTGCCAATAGGGAATGGAGATGACGGACTTGGGGTAACTGGTCCAGGTGAACCTGAAAGGGTGGGATTGGGAACTGCTGGGGGGAAGTGGAAGTGTACAGGCATCTCCTGAGTCCTGGCGGAAAACTAGCAAAGCTGCTGGCTTTGGGCCTTTCTGATGGGGAATTCCGCAGACAAGCCGATCCATCCCGGTGTTTCCACTCTGGATCCCCAGCCACTTACAGGAGGGCTGCACATTTGTGTGTGTGCAGGCACATGTGCAACTCAGATGGACTCATTGGCACCAAGGGGGAGGCCCTGTGAGGCCCTCCTCACCACACTGCAATCAGCTGCACTGAAATCCAACCGATGGCTCAGGGAGCTCACATGGGACACTGGGGAGGGCTGGCAGTGGAGGCGGAGCTGGGAGAAGAGAATGAGAGGGCATAAGGCTAAGGAGAGAGGCTGGTGAAAAGGCTGGCAGGCTGGTGAGAGCTGAGGCAGGCTGGCAGACACTCTCAGATGCATGTGCAAAGCTGCAGTAAACAACATTCCCAAAGTTCGGTCCTGTTTTCCTGCGAGTTCTCACTTGGGCAATGTGGAGGGATCTCCATGCTCTTGATGGAGACTTGGTAATCCATGTCTGACTCATAAAAAAAGATGTGGGGGTGGGGTGGGGGGGGGAATGAGAAGGAAAATAGAGAATGTCGGGCCAAGCCCATGGCGCACTCGGGAAAATGGAGAATGTCTGGGGAGTGGTGATGTCTGCCCAGCCCTCTACCTGTCAGTAGCATCTGTAGACTGACTGCTGGGGACTGGGAAAGTACTACGTGTGGAATAAAAAGTAGTGCTCAGAGGCCAAGCAAGCTGCAGGGCTCCAGCTGTGTTGAGGGGCCTCAAAAATGATCAGGAGAGCTTGGGCTCCAAACCCAGCTGCTGAGCTGTCTCATCCACAGTGGGGGGGACGGGACCCCCACGCCTGTCCCTGGTATAAGAAGCCCCACATTATCCCAGTGGCAAGAATACATGTTTCAACCTCCAATAAATTACCTTAGGGACTTTGGGGTAAATTAAATTATTAAAATAAAGTAAACCACCTTAAATATTTATAATAAGAAAAATTCAAATAAACAATCTAGGCAAGAAACATGTTTCCAGGCCCGTCTTCCGCTGTGTCCTGGGGCACTGGCCTCTTAGAGTTCTCCTTGGGCTGATGTGGCCAGCTGGGAGTTTCTTATTGGGAATATCTTTGCCCTCCACCAGCTGCAGGATGTAAACACAGTGGAGATGTGGCCCCTCTGGGGTGCCAGGGAAAGAGTCCCCAGAGATCAAGGCAGTGGGGATTTAGGCATTGATCTATGCACCAGATCTTGAGACTGATTCTACCTCTTTCTGTCCTCAAGGAGTCACCTGGGAAGGCTAGGGGCCCCAAGTCACTGGGCAAGGGGGGTAATGGCTGCCCATCCCTAAGCCCTATGCTTTCCCACCTCGTCTCCTAGTTCTCGCTGCATCCAGGATATGGGCAGGGAGATCCAGGGCTCCAGGATTCCATGCAGGTCCTTAGCCCTGGCTACTGCCCTATCATACCCCCTAGAATCCCAGCAATCGAGAGCAACAGGCTGGGAGCAGGAGGTGGAGGAGGGAAGAAAATGATGGTGATAATGCCCAGCCCAGCTCACCAGGAACCCCGAGTTGAAACTTAGAGCAAAGCCTGTTCTTCTGAGCAGTTTCTCCTCCTCAGGGAGAGTGTGTGGTCAGGAGAGAACATCTCTGGAAGCCCTCTTCTCCGAGGGCATGACCAGAAGTATCCCTTCTGGGCTCTTCCATGAAGTGGACATGGGTAGAACCAGACAAGGCTCTTCCTCAGGACCCAGGGATCGGCTCCTGATGCATCTCTCCATTACTTCTGAAGCCCAGTTTTGATCTTTCTCCCACTCACTGCTTTCCCCTGGCAAGGTGGAGATCACCATCCAGCGGTCAGCAGGAGATCCTGCTTTACCTTGACACGAAAGCTGTTCTGTGGCAGTGGTGTAGCTGCTGTCCCTCCAGGGCAAGGCAGTGCTGGCCTGTCTCCGCTGGTTCCCTTCTGCTATCCAGGGACGGGGCTGGTTGAAGCAGGAACTTGGCTGCTCTGTCACTCGCTGGGGGGCACTGCCCTCTCCTCCCCACACCAGCCAGACTCTGAAGGGTGCAGCCTGCACTTGGAAGGAGAGTGGCGGATGGCAGAGCGGGACGACCGGGCGAAGCAGGAGGTGAGAGACTGGGTGCTACAGTCACAAACGGCATCCTAGAGGAGGGAGGGAGGAAGTCAGGAGGAGCCGGGAGACACTGACCAGCCATGCCCGGGACCAGTTCCCAGGGCTGTGGCCCTTCTCTGGACCAATTTTTCTCCTTACTGTTTTTCTCCCAATAGAGCTGTAATGGATGTTCATTGTAACATATTCTGAACTAAACAGAGAAGAAAGTGGACATTATCCACACTCCTACACATCACAGATACATTCTCAATATGCTGCACATTCGTACAGTTGCCAAAATGACTTCATCCCCTGCTGCCTATTTTGCAATTGCAAAACATGAACACTTTTCTGTCACTAAGTTTGTCTAGATCTTCTTTTTAATGGCATTACACTATTTCATTAAATGGAAATAACTTATCCAATTCACTTTTTTTGTTGTATTGTTGGGGTTTTCTGGCAGCTGGCTGGTAAGGGGATCTGAACCCTTGACCTTGATGTTACAACACTGCACTCTAACCAGCTGAGCTAACCAGCCAGCCTCAATTCACTTTTGATGTGCATTTCGGTAGTTTCTAGTTCTTTACTATAACCAACACACAGGGATAATGGTTAAAAGTGCTGCTGTAGAACCAGATAGCTTGATTCAAATCCCCACTCTGCCACATATGAAGGTAATTCAAACGGTTCATGGAAAGATTAGTATTATCTTTTCTGTTTTGGCAGCTGGCTGGTACAGGGATCCAAATCCTTGACCCTGGGGGCCGGCCCGTGGCTCACTTGGGAGAGTGTGGTGTTGATAACATCAAGGCCACGGGTTCGGATCCCTATATAGGGATGGCCGGTTAGCTCACCTGGGAGAGCGTGGTGCTGACAACACCAAGTCAAGGGTTAAGATCCCCTTACTGGCCATCTTTCAAAAAAAACCAAAAAAATAAAAAAACAAATCCTTGACCCTGGTATTACACCATACTCTAACCAACTAAGCTAACTGGCTGGCCCCATATTATCTTTCAATTCTATTTTTCTGTGAACTTTTTGAAGTGTCCTCCTAGTAGCTGAGAGACCCTGGGCAAGTTACTTAATCTCTCTGAGCTTTGAATTGCTCCTGTCTGAGATAAGGGACATGATACCTTTCTCAAAGTTGTGAGGGTCAAATCAGATATGATATGTAAAGCATTTAGCATAGTACCTATTGAACACTCAACAAATGTGAGCAATTTTTATTAATAATGCAATATATTTCTTTATACAAGTTTCTTCTTCCACCTCTATAATATATCCATTGGCAACATTCCTAAAAGGAAAACTACTGGGTTAATGTGTAGCACACACAATTTACATAGTGAAAAATATCTGGATCAACCTTTAAAATCAACATTTAAAATCCAGCCAGCTTTATACTGATGTTTAGTGATGTGGTGCTGGTTATATGGGTGTGATGGTTAATTTTATATGTCAACGTGACTGGGCCACAGAATGCCCAGGTATTAGGTGAAGCATTATTACGGGTATTTCTGTGAGTGTGTTTTGGATGAAGTTAACATTTAAGTTGGTTGACTGAATAAAGCAGGTTATCCTCCCTAAGGTGGGCAGGCCTCATTCAATCAGTTGAAGGTTTAAATAGAACAAAAAGGCTGACCCTCCCCCAAGTAAAATAATTCCTCCTGCCTGAGAGCCTTTGGACTGGAACATTGGCTTTTTTCCTGCTTCCAGATTCAAACTGAAACACTGGCTCTATCTGGGCCATGAGGCTGCTGGCCTTTGGACTGGAACTACACCATCAGTTTTCCTGGTCCCCAGGCCTTCAGACTCACACTGGAACCATTGGCTCTCCTGGGTTTCCAACTTGCTGACTCACCCTGCAGATCTTGGGATTTGCCGACCTCCATAATCATGGGAGCCAATTCTTTATAGCAAATCTCTTTCTCTCCCTCCATTTCCCCTCTCTCTATATTCTCTTGGTTCTGTTTTCTAAAGAACCCTGACCGATTCAATGGCTGTCTTCAGTTTATGAGACTTCAGTGAACTATATTCTTACAGTTGCTCAGTATGAATATTAAACCCAAATTTTAAAGTTTTTGTTTGCTTGCTTTTTGGTGGCTGGCCAGTACAGGGATTGAACTCTGGACCTTGATGTTATCAGCACCACACAAAAGTATTTTAAAAGTTAAAAACATAGAAATAAATAGTTAAAAGATTTTTCAAAATGGAAGCCAGCTGCGTGAGAGTATAGAGAAGTAAAATGCTCACCACACATTAGCAGGGGCTGTAGAAATTAGACCAACTCTTTTGAAAGATATGTTGGCAACATTTATCAAATACCTTTAAAAATTTTATATTTTTTATCCTATAATCCCATTTCTGCAACTCAAACCTAAGGAAATAATCTGAAATGTGGAAAAATGTTTTTTTGCACCAAGATATTCACCACAACATTATTTATAATAGGGAAAAACTAGAAACTACTTAAACATATACTAATAGGGAAGTGGACCTTTTGGTAGGTCAATCACAGCCCATCCCACACACAGCCATTTTCATGTCTCTGTGCCCCCACCTGCAGTCCTCACTGAGTCCACATCAGATCACATGGAACTACTCCTGGCCACAGTTGACTGAACCAAGGGGTATACCTGACTCAGGTTGGACCAATCAGAGTTTCTTTCTTCCAGAAATGTAGAATTGGGACAGAGGGATTTGAGTCAGTCTCTCTTAGGTGCTTGATCTGGAAGATGTTATAAAACCAGAGCTGGGACAGCCCACCTGGTCCTTGTGCAAATGCAACAGAGTAGGGGGCGGTGTGAGGAAGAGGACATCAGAGAAAATGAAGCTCAGAGAGAGAAGAAAGCAACAGGGAAAAGCTGCTGAGGCCTTTAGGTCCCTGCTCCTGGGTTCCTAAGATACTCCGTCATCCTTCAGAGACATTTCTTTCCCCTTCTGCAAAGCAAACCTATATACGTCCTTTTACTAACATTCAAATAACCCCTAACTTAAAAATCGATATCAGAAGTGGGGTGTGCAGCAAAAGAGCCCTAGAGAAAATGTGAATACGTGAGGTGTGAAGTCTTGATGGGGTTGGAGAAGTGGTATGCTGGTTAATGTTTAATAACTAGTTTTCCAGGAGTGAGGGGAGGAGCCCTGATTTGTAGTGTGTGCCTATTTGCATGGTGTAAATCCTCCCACTGTGGCTGATCTCAAGGTACCAAGGTGATCTTACCAAATACAATCACCACTGTGTGGCAGGAAAGCAGTAGGCACACCCCTTCCCTGGAGGATGCTAGCAATCTCTGATGTGTGGTGGCAAAGCAGCTAGTTAAGCCGTATGCACTAGTCTGTTGGTATTCAGATCATGTGACTATTGGGTCTGTGTTGTTCCAGGTCTGGGACCTTCCAACCCCATCCCAGACCAGCCTAAGACATTATTGAGACACACAACAGTATTCCCCTTAAAAACCGAAAAGACCATGAACCTTATAAGCTAACCCCATCTCCCAAGGAAAAGGGCAGACTGCACCCACCTACCTACCTCATTGGAAAGGACAGTGGCTCCATCTGCATCCCTGGGGACACCATCTTTCCCCATCTGGGGGAGCATGGTGGGTCTGGCCTCGTCACTGCAGCCTGACTTGGCTGCCTTCTTGTTCAGGATCCTGGCCATACCCTCTGGCTGATGGTAGCTGGCTGGGGAGAGGGGCTCTGGCTTCTTGGTGCCCTCCTCCCCTGCCACCGAGGTAGGGCTTGGTGCCCGGCCACACACATTACGGAAGAACTCTTGCACAATGCCGTACTTGGGGGGCTCAGGCTTGGCCCGGGCCTCGGACATGCCCAGTTTCCAGACAGATTCGGTGCTCCCTGAGTGCTCCACCACACTGAAGAGGCTGGAGAGCCCATCGTTGATGTTCCTCAGTACAGGGCTGTCCCGCGTGGTGGTGGAGCGGGCCCAGGCCGAGCCGTTCTGCTTGCCCTGGTGCAGGTTCCACAGGCTGCGGTCCTTGGTGCTGTCCAGCTTGGACACAGACCGCCTCTGGAGCTTTGGCGAGCCATACTTGGGCGAGCAGCAGGGCCGCTCGATGCGCGAGTGGACTTTGTCCAGGGAGGAGGAGATCTGCTTGCTGCGCATGGACACAAGCGAGGAGCTGCGGGGTGACCAGCTCTTGCCGTGGAGGCTGCTACGGGGTGGGTCGGTTTGCAGGCCCACGCTGACCGTGCGGATGGTCTGTGTGCCCACGCTGGCCAGGCCCACTGTCTGGCTGGACGTGCTCTTCACCTTCCTCTCCAGTGAGCCCGAACGCATGGCCTGGCGCACGCAGTTGGTGATCTCCTTCATGTCATCGCTCATGTTACCCGACATCTCAAAGTCACGCAGGGCCGCTGGGAAGCCAGGCCCAGCCACCGAGGGGCTGCCCCCTGAGCCTCCATCCAGGCGCTGCCGTGAAAAGTTGCAGAGCCAGCGGCCATAGGAGCTCTCGGCCAGCCCGTCAGCCTCGGCCGACTCTTTGGGCTTGGCTGTGGTAAAGAGGAAGCCGGGCTCAATGATGATCTTGCCCTCCTTATCATGGACCACAGGGACGCCCAGGCGCCGGGCCACCGGGGGGCTGTAGTAGACGCGGATGCCCGTCTTGTCGGGAGCTGTGTAGCTGCGCTGCATCTGCCTACCCGCGGGGTCCTGGCAGGCCAGGGCACCCAGGTGGTTGCAGTCCCTTGGCGAGAGCCCGGGCTGTTCCTTGGCATCTTTCTCTGGATCCACCGGCTCAGTACTCACAAAGGCAAAGGCAGGATTGGTGGGCAGCTTCTTGCCCCGGGCATCTCCGCCAGCAAGGTAAGGGGAACAGTCAAGCAAACTTTCAAACTCAGACATTGAGGAAACAGATTTGGTCCTGGGAGAGCAGAGGACAAAAAGTGGCATTAGTGGAAGATAATGTGCACTGGGCACACACTCTGGTCTACTTCCCTGGTCTCTGCACTGCAAGAGGGCAGGGCTAGGACTGTCCTGCTCACCTGTTGTAGGAGATGCTGTTGGTGCCCGCCCCCATCCTCTCGCACTCACACCTACACACCCAAAACTGCCTACTCTGCGCACCTGCCATTCTCTAGCACAGGGCTTTTTTTCTGGTTGTGGGATCGTAGCTGGCCTCCACAGAAAGGAAGCTAGAAATAGCACAGTTAATGCCCCTGAAAGCAGCCCTCAACAAACCTTGGGTGGGAGTGGGTGAATAAGTATCTGGCCTCCTTGTCCCTTGGGTGGGCTAACTCTGAGTTGCATGTTCTACTCTGGCTCCCTCTTCAGCAGGACTGAGTTCCAGTTGCCCATGGGCTTACCTGGTTGAAGCTCCTTTTATTGGCTGCTTTCCCTTCCCTGTCTCACTTCCAGGTGTTTCCTGGAATCCTCTCCCAAATAAGCCATTTACACTTACATCCTTGTCTCAGGGCTTGCTTCTGGGAGAACCCAAACTAAGAGGATGGATGCCATTAAATCCCTCGCACGGCCCTGGTGCCTGTGTTGCCTGAATGACTGAAAGTGCCAGGCATATAGAAGTGTCATATGTCAGACCACTGCCATAACTCTAGGAGGCAGCTCTATTATTTCCCACTAGACAGAGATGGAAGTACCGCCCAAGGTCACAGAGCTAGAAATGGCAGGGCTGGAATTCAAAGCAGGCCCTGACTCCACAGCCCACCCTCCTACCCCAGGGCCTGCCTTGCTTCTGGGCTACTCTGCATGGACACTGTAGGGTTTTTCCCCTCAGTCCTTTTGTGGGTTTCCTAACAGTAGAGACATGGTCCTTATTGTCTTGGAGGTCCCCCTGGCCACAGTGCAGGGTTGGGCCCAAAGAATGGTGTTCAATTATCCCAGGAAAGGATGTCTATCTTGATTCTCCTAACTCCAGAGACAGGAAAAAGGAATCCCAAAGGAGTAAACAGTTTCTTTCCCAGCAAGACTACGTGGGGCCTTAGTTTTCCATGCCCAGAATCAAACAAACAACAAATTGCAGACTGGAATTCCCACTGCCCCAAGATTTCCAGCTCCTGAGTGCCCTGGGTTCCACAGAAGCTATATCCCGACACTCTCCCAACTCTGGTGAGGTACAGTGGTGAGCACATGGGGGCAGGGGAGACGAGAGGAAAAGGGGCGTGACGGGGCTGCAGGGGGGACCAGGGGGAGGGGCTGCAGTAGGGGGTGGAGCTGCAGGGCTGAGTAGGGGTGGGACTTCAGGGGGCGGGTCTGCCAGCACCTCTTTAAGCCTGTTGCCCCAAGTTCAGCTTCGGAAACAGCCTCCTTATCATGGATCTTCTCACTGCGTGTCTGTGAAGGAAGAGAGACAGGAAGGGTCAGCTCAGGCCACCACAGCACTGAGGGAAGGTGATGCGAGGCCAGTGTGGGAGCTGAGCCTGGGTCTCCACCCCTGAGTCTTCTCATCGGGAGGGCAGGAATGCCAACAGCAACTATCTAACTGTCCACAGGCCAGTTTCTGGCTGCACTGCATCTAACTCCCCTACCATAGGTATGTGATCCAGGCAGGGCCAATCAGAAAACCAAGAGTGACCCCAAGGAAAGAGAGACCATTTAGAACTTATTCCAAATGTGGTGGCAGCAACAAAGCACGGAGTGGCCCACTGTGCAATTGGTGGTGGCAGCAGTGACCTGGCAGCTACTGCTCTGGGCTTGTCCCACCCCGGTTCCAGAGGTACAGCGCCCCCAGACCTGCACTAGTTTTCCGAACTGCATTACCAGCTCTCTTGACTCCCAATAAAATCCTCTCCTGCCTCATTCCCCAGAAGTGGTGTGTGTCCTCCTGACTGACACACCTCTTCCTCAGTCCATCATGAAGAAGCAGGGCCATGCAAAGGGCCTATACGTTCACCATGTGATGTTCACTGTCAGCATGTTACTATGTGAACAATGCACCTGAGGCCTACGTGTAAACTTCACCAACTTGACCTTATTGATTTCCATACCCAGGGCTGGGTAAGGCAGAAAATGTGATTCTTGTTTACCAATGAGGCAACCGCGGTTTGGGAAAGGAGAGGGATTTACCCAAGATCACTAGGCTAGTTAGAAGCCCTGCCTTTCATAGAGACACAACTGAAACCAAGAGAGGCCAAGGGTTTCTCCCAGGCGTGCAGGATAGCATTGGCACAGGACCCTCCCCAAGTCCCAAGCCATGGGCAGGAACCATGGGGTAGAGATTAAGGAGCCACAGGTGGGAGGGTGTGACCTGTGGGATGGGGTTAACATCCTTCTGTTATGTCCCCCACAAACATGGAACTTTCTGGTGTAGCCATTGAGCCAAGAGAACACAGGCAGCAGCTCCCCCACTCACCTCTTTCCAGCTGTTGTCCTGCTTCTCCAGGTCCGAGTGCTTCAGGACCCACGGGTCGGCAGCTTTCTGCAGCTTGGCAAGGGTAAAGAGGGAGGGTCAGTGGTGGGCAAAGCTGGTAAACAGGTCCCTCCTCTGTGCAGGGCTGCAGCCCAAAGGACCCACATCATGGACTAAGATCCATATTCTCAGTGGGTAGCAGCTCTGAGCCACCCACAACGTGGATTTGGAAAATGATAATAAAAGCAGCTACTCGCAGGCATCCTTCTAGATGTCCTTATATCTAATATAGTGACAGTTGTAATTACTAGGTTAATTCATGCTACAGTGCATGCAACAGCTAGATCAGCTCAGCAGCAGCTACTTCACATCATGGTCAAACGCAAGACCCAGGGACCCCTGCCGCTCCATCTTGGTCGTCTTTGCTAATGGATTCCAGCAACCTTTCCCACTGAACTTTGGGGTGGCCTCTGGTGCCCTTCCGTCTTGGAGCTCCATCATGTCCAGGTGGCATGTGATGGAACCCATTTGCTATACACACATTACTTAATTTAACCATCACAGCAGCCATATGAAGTAGGTGTTACTATGGTTATTTCCTTTCACAGACGGCAGGATTAAGACCGAGAGAAGGGAAGTTCTGGTCAAGATGGCAGAACAGACGGTCCCCAGCGTCACTCTCTCCCACAAATTAACCAATTTACAACTATAAAAATGTAACATCAGCCAAGCTGGGGCCGCTGGAGCTCAGGGAAAGAGGAGGAGAGACCTACGGAGTTCATGAAGGCGGGAGAAACCACAATGAGAGAAAGAAAAAACTGCTCGGAGTGTTTCAGGCCGCGGCTGCTTTAAGGCTCAAGCTGATGAGCGCATGAAGCAGGAGCAGGCAGAAGCCGCAGCTGTGCCCTTCAGATGGAGTTACTTGGAGGCGGCAGGGGAGAAGAGGGCCTTGGTGGCCCCCAGGCCAGCAAGACCACTAATAGGGTTCCCGTGAACCTGCGCAGGAGCGACCAAAACAGCTGAAAAAGGGGAACCATTCAGAGACCGGTGAGTCATCGCAATGGACTGGCACAGGGCCCGGCCCATAGGAAGTGTTTGGAGCATGGGTGGTGGGGGACACGGGCCTACCGGGAGAACACGGGGACACAGCAAAGACAGCCGACCCACCCCCTAATCAGCACAGGACCTCTAAGAGGAGACTGGTTAGGAATATAGAATTGCATGGGGTGCAGTTTGCTGATAACACTCAGGCCCAGATCAGAGTTTCTACGCAACCCAGATCCACCGGGTCTTTGGAGAGCTGGAAGTACCTATGAGATCAACCATTAAACCCTGAGCTGCACAAAAAGCCTTCCCTAGGGAAACAGCAGTAAAGCAGCAATTTAGCTCAACCACACAGCTCAAGTACTGGTTCCCACAGGAAGTTACCCCGTTTTAGAAGTAAGCAAAGGACAACAAGTTAGTTCAGGCCCAGGCACACCACCAGCGCCTCAGGGCCGCTTGGGGACCCCAGATATAGAGCCAGGGACCAGACACTCCCCACAACCAAGCACACCGCCAGCACCAAGGAACAGGCCAAAAACATTACCTCCATGTGGGTGGCCCACTACAGCCACCATAGTAGCTATGGCTGCCACAAAAGTGGCTAGATGACACAACCTCCATGCAGATGGTCCACCAGCCACTGGAGTGCATCAACACAAGGAGAGTCACCAGCAGAGATAAAGAAAAGAAGAGGATGTCCCTCTCCAAAAAGCCCATTCCAGAGTGACAGAAGCAGCATCTGCTCTATGATAATACTGGGGGACCTGATCACACCTCTCAGCATTGGACAGATCACTAGGCAACAAATCAGAGTAACCATTATTCTTTCAGAAGGAGAAAAGAAATCTAGGGTAATTAGAGGGGGAAGGGGGAGACAGAGGGGGATGGGGAGAGATTGGACAAGGGGCATAAAGAATAATTATGATTTGTAACAATATATATGCTAGTAATATTGATTTGATCAACATATCTCAATGTTGAACCCCTAAAATATGTATAATCAATTCTGATTCAATGAAAATAAAAAATAAAAATAATAAAATAAAATAAAAAATAATTTTAAAAAAAGACAGAGAGAAGGGAAGGAACTTGCCCAAGGTTGGGCAGCTGAATGAGTGGCAAAGATAGTAGCAATGGCGTGGCAGATCCCACGGTTTGGTGGCCCCATCTGTGCCATTTGTCACTGCAGCCACCTTTAGAGGATTACCTTGGGCAACTGGAACCCAATCACTGACAAAGATGGACAAAGGCAGGGGGTCCAAAAGGCTGGCCCAAAATGCTGATCCCTTGCCTTAAGGTGGACCAACTGTGGAGTGATTTACTGTTTATCCTTCTGAGCTTCTCACAGGTTCTGGCTGAGAGCAGACTTTGCCTGAGAGCACATCCTTGCTTGGCTTTTTCCCCTTCCCTGTCCTGGTCTCCTCCATCCCTTAACAAATCACTTGCACACAGGGTAACCAACTCATCTTGGTTTCCCAGGACCTTTCCAGGGTTGGCACTGAAAGTCCTATGTCCCAGAAAACCTTCAGTTCTGAAAAAACTAGGAGGCTTTGCCTGGGACTGTTCCAGTTTTAAAAGTATAAGTCTCAGGATCCCTCTCAGTCCCAGGCAAACTAGGATGGGTTGGTCACCCCACTTGCACTTGAATCCATATCTCAGGCTTTGCTTCTTAGGATCCCAACATAAGACAATGGTAACAAGGTCAACAACAAAAAATAACACTAACATGAGCAGCAATGACAGACGAAGACTGCAGAACCAAACCAAGCCCAGTCAGGGGTGGGCCTAGAAGCACGTTGATTTGTCCCAAAGTATTCTCATGGCTATCTCTTTTTACTTCCATAGCTGCCCTGTGAGATGAGAAGGTCAAGGATGGTCATCTTCACCTTACTAATGAAGCCCGGAGACCAGAGGTGACTTGATTGGGCTTGTACCCGGAAAAGCCAGGTGACGATTGGGGGCTCCTGGTCACAAGCTCTTTCCCACCAGCTACTGTGGCTGCTGCTTTCACCAAGCTGGTTTGTCAATACATTTTAAAGAAGAATGCTGCTTTGAGGGATCCAGTTTGAAGTAGAGGAGGCAGAGGAATGTCAGAGAGACACAGGAGGCCAGAGACAGAGGGCCTGCAAGTCCCATGCAAGATCCCCTGATGTGAAAACAAGAGCAAGACACAGAATCTGTGCCCTGACGAGCCAGCAGGGCCCACCTGTGGGCTGATACATGTTTCCCCACGTATGTTCTGGAGCTCATCTCATAATTACAAAATCATTAAAATTTTTTTTGTTAATATAATAAAAAGGAATTGTTCTTTTATAGACAGAAATTTGGTTTGATGGTGCAAATAGACACATCTGATCTGTTTCCCATGTGGTACATGGATTGTTCCAGGATTCGTCTGTCATCCTTCCATGCTGCACTTGCCAAGCACAGGCTCCTAGTGAATGTGACCCTCAGAGGAGCTCTGTCCCTGCAAGGGGGTAGGCAGGGCCCAGGACCAGGAACTTGCCAGATTTGGGAGTTTTGCAAGATTTGGGAGTTCTGCCAGATTGTGGTCCTGTCCCTTACTCACTTTATAACCTTGGGCAAGCCACTTTGCCTCAGTCTCCTCATCTGATAAAGGGGTTTAGTGATCATGACCTTGCAGGGCTGTTGGAGGACTGGGGATAACATTAGGAAGAAGAAATACAAATGATCAATAAACTCATAAAAAGATGCTCACCTTCACTAGAAATTAGAGAAATGTAAATTAAAACAAGATAGCATTTTACACCATGAAATGGGCAGACATTGCAAAGACTGGTAATCACAAGAACTGGCAAAGATAAAGCACCTTCACACTGTGCTGCTGGTGGGGGTGTAACTGGGCAAAGCCTTTCTGGAGGGCTAGCCCAGCAGTTTCCATCAACTACAAATGCATATGCCTTTGAACTTTGCAATTTCACTCCTAGGAATCTATCTTATCATGCACATGTGGAAAAATATAGTGGGGATGTTCACTGAGGCATTACTTTTAATAGTGAAAAACTGGAAACAATCTAGATTTCCTCAATATGGAATAAAAAATCATGGTGTCTCCATATCAGGAACACCAAGCAGCAGTTAAATTGGATGAGGCCAGCCTGTCTGCTCTGTTGTGAACAGCTCTCCATGAAAGAGGCAAAGTGTAATCAACACATATATGATTTGATTAATGATATAAAACAAACAAAACAAACTCTGAATATAAATTTAATAGCAAGAAAGGGAGGGAGTGGATCGAATATGCTTTTGTGATATTTGGGTCTTATATAAAGATGAAGTCCTTATTTATGTAATTAAAGAGTAAAAGAGAGGAAAGAGTCAGAACGAAGAACAGAGCAGCGTGGCGGTCAGGCGGCTGGGCAGGTGCATGATGCGAGCTGTAGTGGGTGTCGCAGTCAATGGCTGCTTTTCCTTCCTCCCCTCTTTTGGTCAGAGGACTCCAATTTTCCCATGGGAACCACCCTGGGCTCCTCCCTCTTCGTTCCTGAGTGTCGGAGGCCAAACTGAGCCTTATGGAAAAGGAACTCTCTTTCCACTGCAATTGCTAAGCTGTGAAACTAGCAGTGGCCATATTTGGGGTTAGCCTGCTTAAGAATAAAGCTAACATGCTGGCCAGGTAGTGTTGGTTAGAGCACAGTGCTGATAACACCAAGGTCAAGGGTTCTGGTCCCCATACCAGCCAGCCACCAAGAAAAACAAAAAAACAAAAAGAATAAAGCTAACATAGAGTATGAAGCAGGCTTGAGAGACTGAGGCAGAGAGAAAGACCTAGTCCCTAGACTGTAGTCTCTCAGCACCTGTATCCAGCTATACCTGAAAGAGATCCTACTCCAGACCTCATTGTCTGAGCACCCAGATCCAGCTATCCCTGAAGGAGATCGTATCTCTGGATGTTCCCTATGGTGACTCTTTCTTGCGGCTTAGACCAACACGAGCTGGGACAGGCCTCACCTGGCTCAGGCGGTTCTGCAGCTCCTTCATCTGCTGCTCTACCTGCTGCTTCTCGCCCTGCAGCCGCTCCACCAGCTGCAGCTTCTCCTGGCTCCAGTTGCGCTCACTGATCTGCAGCTGCCGTGTCAGCTCCATGACGGCACCGTAGGACTCAGCCAGGAGGTGCTGCTGCTCCTCACGCTCCCTCTGGAGGGCTGCCTTCCAGTCAGGCCCTGCCCGTTCCCCGGTCCCCTTCCCAGCCTTCAGCTCCATCTGCAGAGAGATGCAGACAGGGAAGTTGGCACCAGAAGGCCCCTCCTCTCTGCCCTGCTCCCTCCTTCCCTACTGGGCACCAGCAGGGGGCAGGGGGAGAGGGTCTCCTCAGGAATCTTTCACTGACCTCCCCACTCAGAACTAAACCCTCTTCCCAATAAGGGTTTATGGAGCTCTTCATACAAGCCAAGCAAGCACTCTGCTGTAGGCTTTTCAGGCATTATCTCTGTATCTTCATAAAAACTCTGTAAGAAAACTACTATTATCCTATTTTACAGAAGAGGACGAGGTTCCAAAGGGTTATTTGTCCCAGGTCACATAGCTATGACATGGCAGAGGTTCCTAGTCATTGCTTTTCATGATATTTCATCAACTCTTACCAGCAGTATGGGGTTTGGTTAATGGGGGATGTGTTTTATGTTCCCTCCTGGAAAGCTAGGACCCCACCTTGTCCTGCACAGGCCCGGCATGGGGACATGCACACACATGCACATGCAGTCACGTAATGCATGCGTGCAGGAATCATTCCAGCATGATGGCTTTCTCAGCCCCAGATCTCAGGGTGGCAAGAAGGAAACATGCAGCCTCAAGACTCAATGTCCACTACACCTGTGATGTTATGGTCTGGGATGTTAGTCCCATGGGGCCAGTCATGTTCCCAGTGGGGAAGAGGACCTGAAATGGCTGGGTTTGGGGGACAGCGGGAACAGTGGACACTGGAATGTGCAGATGGGCTGGAGCTGTGAGATCTGCAGGGAGGATAAGGAGGGGAGCACGGTGACCCCGAGAAGAAACGAGGAGGCTGTGAGCACTGGGATGATGGAATTGCGATCATGGAGAGCCAGGAGGGGCAGAAGATTGAGGAGCAAGGCTCAGGTCTGCTACTTATTAGCCAGGTGACATTGGGAAAGAAACCTAACTCCTCTGTGTCTGTTTTGTCATTTGTCCAGCAGAGATTATCAGAGTACCCACCTCCCAGGGGCTGGTGATGCCGGGGAAGGTAGCCTGCAGCTGGAGTCCGCACCGCAGAGCCATGGCGTCACAGTGTTCTCGCCGAGTGGGAGGAAGCCCACTCTCTCATTTTTTAGACCAGAGTGGGGCAGCAACTTGCCCATGGGCACACATCAGACACCAAACTCCTTTGGTCACGCTGGGTTATTGGAGGGGAGGCCCCAAGTTTGAGTGGTGGGAACAAAAAGCCAGGTAGCAGGGGGTTAAAGGGACCCTTACGAGGAGAGGAAGGAACAAACAAGGACGGCAGGCAGCAGGAGTCCAGGCATGTGTGCAAAGGCCATCACCACGTGCAGACAGGCATTTAGGCATTCTGGCCTCACCTGTGAGCCCACGGTGCAACAGAGGTACGTGTGATGCCCCTGTAACCCTTTGTCAGTCCCCACCTTCCTTCCCTGGCCCAGTGACTCCCAGTCCCTGTTGTTTCTGGTACCCTTGCTGTGTGATGCTAGCCAAGTCTCTTGCCCTCTCTGGGCCACAAAATAAAGAGAGGATTCCTACACCTCCAGGAGCATGGCTTGGGCATCCTGCTCCCAGATCTGACAGCTGAGGGCCTGGCTGAGAGCAAGGTGAGAGATGTCTCTGATAGATGAGGGCTCACCTGGGTGGCATGGCTCTTTAGCTCTGCCCGCTCCGTCTCCCAGGTGGCCTTGGCCTTGGCAAACTGTTGCTGAAGCTCAGTCAGACCACGGCGTTCATCCCGGAGCAGCCAGCATAGCTCCTTCAGTGTCACCTTCATGTCGGCCAGTGTCTTGATGTACTCATTGGGCTGCAGACAGGGACAAGGGCTGTGTCAGGAGCTTTTGAAGGGACAGGAGGGGAGCCTGGGCTCAGAGAACTCACCCAAGATGCTGGCTCAGGACTCTACCAGGCCTTGGGCAAGTTCCATGACCTCTCTAGGTCATCTCCCCATAAAATGGGGATGACAGACCAGCCCTAGCTACCTCCTAGGCTGACATGAGTCCCAACCTCACATAAACAAAAAAATTATGCAGTAAGAGTAATAATCACTCAGCCTAAATCTAACCTGAATAATCTGGCTTCTTCAAGGCTCTGCAGCATCTAGGCTACAGGTCAGTGTCTTTGCTCAGGATCTGCCTCTCTGACCCACTGCAGGCCAGACGTATAGTCTGTTCCAAGGAGCCTTCCTAACTGTGCCTGACTTGGTCTCAGATCTTGTCTTCTGGGCATGACCTCATTTCATCCATACCGCAGCTCCCTGTGTGTGACCCTGGGAGCCACACCCCACTGCTCTCACTGACCTATGGCTTGATTTGAAGGTTCCTGACCCCAGACCACAAGGCCCCTCTTCATATGGCCCTAGCCTGATGTCCTTACCCCCACTATACACATCCTAAGCCACAGCCAATCCTAGAATAACTTGCCACACCTCTGCACATATAGTTCTCTTGATCCAGAATGGTCTTTTCCCCATTCTCTATTAGGCAAACTCCTATTCATCCTTCAAAACCCTCCACCTATGACCCCTTCTTTGTGATACTGTCCCCTATACTCCACATAAAATAAATTGTTCTCTCGTCTGTGACTCCACAACCCATTATCTGGCTTTCTGTCACTGCCCTGGGATGATTTATGTACCCCATTGCACTGAGCATCTGAGGGCCAGTAACCCGTAACCCTCTGCAGCTCCTAGGCCTAGGGCAGGGTTGGGGCCAGAGAAGGTGGCCGAAGTGATCGCTGAACAAAGAAACAAATGGATAGGACAGGACTGGGAAGGGGCTGAGAACGTACCGTGTTCTGGGTCCAGCTATCCCCCATGTAGGCCTTGTTATCAGAATGCTGTGCATTTATTTCCTCTTCCTCCATCAGCAGGTACAGCTCCTTCATGCTATTTACCTATTTTTTAAAAACCACACTCATCAGAGGTTGGGAGGTTGTCATACCTGGGGCTCCAGCCTTTGGGGGGAGGGGACTCTAGCTAGTAACCCAGACAGAAAGGGGCCTGCACAGCCAGCAGGAAGGAGGAATGGGAGTTTATGGTGCAGAATGGACCCAAGGCACCCTAGCCTGGTACTGGATTCCCGAATCTTAACTATGACCCCTGGGTACTATCAGGCCCTCCTGGCCTCCCACACCATTTTCTTGGCCCCAAGGATGATGAGGCATCCCTAAGAGTTACTTAAAAATAATCATGTGGACAGGCTGGGCCAAGGCAGGCGTGTGGTGGGAATAAAAGGACCAAAGACATCCCCATGATGATAGATAACAACAACTACAGGTTCGGGCGACCAGAAGGGACCCTTCCTGGGAGGGGGGATTTGTTGCTGATGGATTCTGGGCAGGAGTCCAGGGCCAGCCAAGGAACCCAGGGACCTGGTTCAGGATGGGAATGAGCAGAAGGAAGCCGCCTTCTGACTGGGGTGCTTATTCATCATTTCTACATCCATTCATTCAACAGATATTTACTGAACATCCACCATGTGCCAGGCTCTGTGTTAGGAGCTGGGGATACTTTAGTGAGCAAGAGAGACAAAAACCCTGGTCCCCTTCAGCTTACTTTCCAGTAGCAGGAAAACAAATAAATAAGTGAGACGTATGAAATGTCATTAACTACATGGAATGTCATACAGGGACAGGTGCTATAAAGAAAAAGATAGATGGGAAAGGAGCTAGGATGTGCTGGGCATGGGTGGTCAAGGAAAGCTGTACAGAGAAGGTGACACTTGGGCAAAGTCCTGAAGGAGGTGAGTGACTAAGCCATGTGCATATCGGGAGGGGAATTCCAGGCAGAGGGCACAGCCCATGCAAGGTCCGAGGGGGGAACGTGACTGAGGAAAAGGAAGAAAGCCGGGGAGGAGGTGAGAGGTATGAGAACAAGGCCGGGTAGACCAGGCCATGGTAGGGACTTTGGCTTTAACTCTGGGGGAAAAGGGAGCCAGGAGAGGATTGTGAGCCAAGGAGTGACACCGAGCTGACTTTCAGTTTCACAAGATTGCTCTAGCTGCTCTGCTGAGGTACTTTAGAGGGCAGCAACAGCACACACGGCACAACTCAAGGGGCACCATCCATGCGGAATACAAGCTGCATGGCACCTGCTGTAGCCCCTTGTATACAAGCTGATTGGTGGAAAGGGGCAAGGACAGAGGCAAGGAGACCAGCTAGGAGGTGACAGCAATAATCCAGGCAAGAAGTGATGAGGCTTGGTCAGGGGATGGTGGGGATAGCTGACTCTGGATAGGTTTTAGAGGTAGGACTGGCAGGATCTGCTGACGGATTAGAAGGGGGAATGAGGGAAAAAGAACAGTTGAAAATGTCTCCAAGGTTTTTTGACTTGAGCAAGGTGAAACTGTCATTAACTACAGGAAGAGCAAGTCTGGAGGGAAGAATGGGAGTTTGGTTTTCGACATGTTGTCAGCAAAACCTCTTAGACATCCAAGTGGATCTATCAAGTAGATTATACAAATCTGCGGTTCACAGGAGATGTCTGGGCTGGAAGCATAAATTTGGAACTTGATGTCCAGGAAAGGCCACTTAAGGCACAAGCCTGGAGGAGCTCCACAAGGGAGTCAGCACAGGTAAAGGAGAGATGCGGGCCAATGGCTGAGCCCCGGGCACTCTGACTTTAAGAGGTCAGATCAGGGAAAGAAGGAGGAACTGGCAAAGGAGACTGAGAAGGAGCAACCAGTCAGGGGGAAGGAAAATTAAGATATCAAATGAACAAGTGTTCCACGTGTGTCCAGGAAGACACTGAGACTGTGAAGTATGTGGGGGGAGCAGGGTCTGCATGAATCAACCCCCCAGTTCCGTCACTGGTCACAAGGATCTAAACAGAGTCTTTTTATTATTACATTTAGACAGGTGCACAATCCCTTCTCTAAAATCCTCTAGGCCAGATGTGTTTAGAATTCAGGATTTTTTAGGATTTAGAAAGGTAATATGGTACCTACACTGTATATTGTTACTATGGACTGAATGTCACCCCCAAATTCATTGATGCTTGACCTCCACTGTAACAGTGTTAAGAGGGTAGAAAGCCAGATGATGGTATTGGAAACATGAGGCCTTTGGGGGGTGACTGAATCGTGAGGACTGCGCCCTCCTGAATGGACTGATCCATTCATGGAGTAATGGGTTAATGGTTTAATCGCTTATAAGGAGAGTGAGTAAGAAGTTGACTCTCCTGCTCATGCCATTCTCGCCATGTGATTCTGTGGTCGCCAAGGGCCTCTGTAGAGAGTTCCTACTCAAAAGAAGGCCCCCCACCAGATGCACCCCCTGGACCTTAGACTTCCTAGCCTCCAAAACTGTGAGAAATAAATTTCATTTTCTTTATAAATTGTCTAGTTTCATATATTCTACTATAAACGGTAGAAAATGGACTAACACAATTGTATAACAGCCCCAGCAGGGTCTGGTGAAACATCCCAAGTTCAAGCACACTAATACTTCCCCTTTAAATATATAAATATTAACATGAAATGGGATACATTAAGGTTTTGCAGTCAAATGGATGTCAGGTCAAGTTTTGCCAACTGACTTAGATGACAAAAAACACTTGGCTCTCAGAGCTTCTGGATTTCAGATGTGGACAAGGAATCAAAGATCTTATCTGTAGTAGAATGAGGATAATTGTCTCCATATCACAGGGTATTGGTAAAGATGAAATGTAATGACTCATCAAAGGCAATTAACACAGTGCCGGAACACTATCAATATTCAATATAGGAAAGTTACCAGTCACACAGATATTTTAAATTTTGCTTGGGTGGAGACACACATTCTTTAAAAGTATAAATGCATATCAAGTTAATTGTTTATCTAATTATATATATTTTATTATGTATGTTTATATGTATGTATATTTTACACTCATGCTCTTTATACTGTATTATATGTGTGTGCATATATATCTATTTTTACAATGAATATGGTTATGTTTATATCTTATGTCTATTTCAATAAATATACATATTTATATTAACTATAGGCATATATATTATTTAATTTTCTATGTTCCCACCTTATTTTTGTCCTAAAGTAAGTTTCTCTCTTTGTTCCTCCAGTACATGGGAAAGATTTTCACCAAATGTGGAGGGTTTGTCTGAAACACACTTACTTAAAATAGAGGCAGTGTGGCAAGGCAATTCGCTTTGAGGGGTCTGGGGAGCATCTCTGCTGGCAGCCCAAACTGGGCTTCATCTAGAGTCCCATGGGACTTCCAGACAGGAGAGGAAGGTCCTGTGTTTTCAAATGCCACAGAAGAGAAAGCTTCAAGCAGGAGGCCCAAGGACTGGTACTCCAAGGGCTGGCCTTGCTGGGCTCTTGAGCTACTTCTCACATAGGCACCTTTGTGCCAGGCATACCAGGGCAAGGGCAGCGGGGAATAGGTTCATTTAATGGTGGTTAGTGACTCTCCAAGTGGCCCTGGGGAGGAGGGGGATGGCTTGTGAGAACTATGGACCACACTGAGGTAGGGATGATGCAGTCTTGCTACAAACTCAGGTCTATCATCCCCGGCTCCTGGAGCATTTGGGCTACTTTAGGGGACCCCTGATGAGGTACATGGGGACTTGAGGAGTGCCACTGGCCCCCACTGGCTCTGGAAAGAGGCCTGGAGAGAGGAGGGCCAAGCATGGGCTAGACTAGAGGTACCTGTACCTACAAGGCCCAGGCCAAGGTGAGCAATGCTGACTAAGGTGGGTGCGACTGAGGTGTGACATCCTTATATGCCCCCTTCCCTTCCCAATGCTAGCGTGCTGATGATGGGAGGCAGGGGCTTTGAGCAGCAAAGGGTCCCACACAGGCTGAGGGATGAATGGGACATGTGAGACCTTCCCAAGCTTCATATATTCCCCAAAGCTCCACCTCTCGTTTCCGGCCACATCCCAATACGACCTGTACTATCACTAATGTTCTTAAGTCAACCTACTCCCTCTAGTTAAATAAATATATCTAAAAAAGGAAGCTGATATCGTTACCAAATATGGAAAGCCAGTATCCACTGCCATAAGTCAAAATAACATTAAAAATAAAATAAAATAGGTACACTCATAAATCAAAAATACACAGCAATAAAAAATAAACTACTCCTACAAGCAAAACATGGACGAATTGCAAAAAATTATATGGAAGCTGGCCGGTTAGCTCATTGGTTAGAGCGTGGTGCTCTTAACACCAAGGTCCAGGGTTTGATCCCTGTACTGGCCAGCTGCAAAAAAAAAAAAAAAAAAATTATATTGAGCAAAAGCAGCCAGACACATAAGAAATTCTAGGACAGGTAAACTAATCCATAGTGTAAGAAAGCAGAATAGTGCATACTGCTGGGTGGGCATATTGACTGGGAAGGGGCACAAGGGAATCTTCCAGAGCACTGGAAATATGCTTTACTGTGATCTAGGTGGGTGTACACTGTAAGAAGTCATCAGCTGTACACTTAAGATGTGTGTGCCTTACTGTAAGTTATACCTTAAAAGAGTAGAAAAAATATATCTGTACATAATACAATTACAACAAAACCAGATTATTAAATTCACCTAGATACTGGTGCCTGCTGAAGACTGTGTTAAAGACCTACCAGCCCCCTAAGAGACTTTCTCCCATCGAGGCCTGGACCAAGTCCGTCTTCTTCACCACAGTATCCCCTGCACCTGTCTCAACACCCAGTAAAGAGCTGGTTCTTGACCCACAGATGCTGAATGAGTGAATGAATGCAGGGAGGAAGCCTGCAAGCTGAGGGCACCTACACGAGCCTCAGGGCTGTGACAACGCTAGCTGAGCATACCTACCCCCCTCACCCCCACCCACACCATAGTTGGGGTCCCAGACCCAACCATACCTCAAGAAAGTCATCCCCCTCACTGGGCGAAACCTTGCCCTGTCGCCAGCGCTTGAGGAACCACCTGAGCTTCATGAAGAGCAGCAGGAAGTTGTGCTTGAACTGCTGGGACTCCTGCACCAGCATATTCTTCTCTTGGCTCCAGAACTTCTGCTCCAGCCTCCGCTGCAGACTCAGACTCTGCAGCTCAAACTCCCGCCTCAGGAGCGCCCTCTGCTGGTCCTCCTTCAGCTGCCAGGGGGACAGGAGCTTGAGCAACCCCCAGCTCAGGGTTCCGGCTGGTAACCCACCCCATCCCAGGCCTCAGACAAGAGGAAGATTTAAATGGTGCCTGTGGGTGATCCCTGCCAAGACTCCACTACTAGCAACTCATTTTACTGAGATAAGCATTGCCCTCTGCTACTCAAAGGAACAGAAACTCAAAGAAGCCACAAATCAGTGAAGGAGCTGGGATTTGAACCCAGCACTGCCTGACCATGATGTCATATACTGAGCACCTACGGGACGCCAGATGTTTCACACGAACTCTTACATCTAATGAGGAACCTGTGACCAGAACAATGATGGCAGGGAGGGGTGACCCGATGGAGAGCAAAGGGCATGCTGGGATGGAGGAAGGCTGACGAACGTGCAATACTCCAGGAAGCAATGCAGCGTCACAGCTAAGAGACAGCCAGAGACCTGCACTGGAATCCCTGGCCCACTTCTCCCTGGAAGCACCTCAGCTTTCTGAACATCAGCTTCCCCATCTGTAAGGTGGGGGCACCTCACAGGGAAGGCATGAGTATTAAAGGACATAATGGGTAGAAAGTGTGTTGCACAGGCCTGGCATACAGTAGGGCCTTAACAGATACTGTCTATTACAGGACTATTATCTTGATTACCAGCCAGGCCTGATGGGGGCAACATTTCATAGATGGCAAACTGAGGCCCTGAGAGGAAATGAGTCTGGCCCAAGGTTACACAGGCAGCCAGTGACAAGTCCAGGACTTCAACCCAGCATAGCTAATGCACAATCACAAGTGCAGAAACATCCAGCAGGGCACAGGGGCTGGAAGACTCGAGGCTCCCTGACGTTCTTGGCTTCTGAGGACCCATGGATCTCTGAGGACTTTGTCTTCAGTTTAGGGAGGAGAAGCTGGAGGAGGTGCAGGTAAAGCGTTGGGCACCACACACCTGGACCATTTTCTGGTTGAAGTTGTCAGCCTCCTCCTTTCGTAGCTGCCGCTCCTGGGACAGCTGCTCTTGCAAGCCCCGGAGGCTGTCATGGGCCTCAGCCAGGACCAGCTGCAGCTCCTTGATCTGCGGTGGGGATGGGGGACACAGATAATGAGGAAGGAGAGAGAGAGGAGGAAGAGGACAGAAGCTGTGGTCCCAGGATGAGAGTGGTAGGGGAGCAACAGTAAGTCAGACCCAAGTGTCTCTCAAGCACAGATCAGGCACAATGGCTGTCCCTACCTCAGTGGGTTGTCATGACAGTTAAATGAAACCATGCCTATCAAATCTAGCTATTGGTATAATTTTAACTTGATAATTTCTCTCTTTAAAATTTATTTGAAGAAAATAATACACTGAAAATTAAGTTTGATTCACAAAGATGTTCATTGTCTCATTGTTTATACGAGTAATTGCAAAAATTTAAAAACACCTTTAATAAATGATGGAGATTACAATATGTGTTTATTAGATGTATACCTATGTAAAAATCCATTCAACTACATGTTTAAGGATGCCATCCTTTTTTATATGTATGTTATTATGTTATAAAGGACATAAACACACACACTAAATGTAAACAGTGGTTAACTGTGATGATCTCATGATCTTGACTTTCTTCTTTATACCTTTATGCAAAACTGCTTAGAGATTTTGTTGTAGTTGTTTGTTGTTTATAATGACTGTGTAATAAGATTGTAAGAAAAAGATAATAAAATTCTACTTTTCCTGGGGAAATCATGTTTAAAAGTATTTGTAGCTAAACAGGAAAAATCTATTTCATTAGCAGTCTGGACGGTACTAGAAGATGACACAAGGTGGGGCTTCTGAGGGTGAATTATGCTCTCTGTACTGATCTGGGTGCTGATTACATAGAAGTGCTCCATTTGTGAAAATTATTTGAGCTACTTACAATATGAGCACTTTTCCATATGTATATTATATTTCAATAAAATTTTTTTTCAGTATTTCTGGTATCAGAGGGAAATGTTTATGCTGCCATGTTAAATAGGGAAAAGAAAAAGGAACTGTCAGCCCCAACTCCTACATGAAACCTTCCCAGGCAAGGCAGATGTCCTCTGTGAAAGAAAATAAGCCCTTACTATGTGGCCAATAATGCGGTGGTTTGGCAATGCAAGGCACACTGATGACATGTATCTCGCACACTGGTTTTATATGAAAAATCCTTTCAGGGCTATATACTGTCTGCTCTCTCTGGTATCGTCTTTGAATTTAGTGTTCGACACAATGCCTAGCAATTGCAACTGCTTAATAAAGAGTGGCTGAACAAAACAATAATTAAATGCATGCAAGAAATAATTCTCTCTGCAGGTAAGCCTATACAAATAGACCTATTTCCTTTACGCAAAAAATGAGAAGTATCTCATTTTTTCCCTTTTGCCATGGCTGCTGGGAAGCTTACTCAGACCATCTCACTTATTGTATCAGATCCATTAGCCTCAAGGGAGCTTCTCCACCTGCACAGTTGCAGGTTGGCCTTTCCAGGACCACAGAGTTATCTTCCCAGGGATGTTCAAAAGAAAAGGACGCTCAAGCTGAGGTACAAACAGGACTCTCCAAGGTTCAGAAGTCTCAGGGATATCCCACCCCATCCACAGGAGCCTTTTCCTGCTTCAGGTTCATCATGAAAAGGTGAAGAGGCTCAAGAGTAAGCTTGGGAGGGGCTCAGAACCACCCAGAATTCCTCAAGGATCAGAGAATCCTAGCAAGCCTATCGCCACCATTCACTCTAACCCTCCCATGTTATAGACGGGAAGCTGGCGTCAGAGTGTGGGAACATGTCCAAGGACACATGACACCCTGATAGAACAGAGACTTAAACTCAGGTCCCCTGAGTTCAAATGACGTGTCATCACCATCATTCTCATCCTCACCCAACATGGGCCAGGCCTTAAACTAAGCTCTTCAAGTATTTTTGTGTGTGTGTGTGTCTTTTTCGTGACTAGTAAGGGAATCACAACCCTTGGCGTGGTGTTGCCCGCACCGCGCTCAGCCAGTGAGCGCACTGGCCATCCCTATACAGGATTCGAACCCACGGCGGGAGCGCCACTGCACTCCCAGTGCGGCACTCACCCGAGTGCGCCACGGGGCCGGCCCAAGCTCTTCAAGTATTTAATCCTTTCAACAACCCTATGAGGGACCTTCATTTTACAGGTGAGAAAAGTGAAAATCAGAGAGGTAAAGTGACTTATCCAATATCTCACATAGCTGTATTATAGATCTATAATTTGAACCCAAACAGCCTGACTGTAGAGATTATTGCCTCCATGCTACATAAATTAATGGTTACATTAAATGACATAAATTATTAAATTCCCAGTGGAATTTAGTACAGAAAAGAAAATCAATTTCTTCAGATAAGCTTATAGGCTTCCCTTGATTAGGTCATAAGAATGGCCCAAACTTCCTTATTTCCCTTTTTTGCCCTGGCTGCCAGGAAGCTTGGAACCAAATGGAATGCTCAAAATCCATATCATCAGCAGCTAAGATTCTCCATGGATCACTCTGCTTTTAGGAGGTCCCAGCCACTCTCCCCCTACCCAACCTCCTGCTTGCTCAGGCCTAGACCTACCTCAGAGGCGTAGGAATCATTGTCTTCAGTTCGGTAAGGCCTGAAGCTGCGGCTGGGATCAAGCTTGGAGTCCAAGTCGCCAGTGCGGAAGGACTCTCGGATCCTGGGTTCCCATTCCGGCAAGTCCCTGAAGTCAGGTGGCTGCACCCAGAGGCACAGGCAGAAGAGTCCAAAGATAATCATCAGGAGGGGCCTGAGGGATGCCAGAAGCAGCCCCTACCCAAGGCCTCTGGGCTCCATAAGAGGCTGACCACCCACCTGAGGGCTGGAACCCAGATGGATTCACCTCTGCAGCCCAGACCCAGCCCTGGTTGGGAGCACTGCTGCCACCCAGTGAATGTTGAAAGAATGAATGAGTAGGTAAGCGGTGAGTGAAAACATTGACTTTGTGAATGTCCATCTTGTGCATAAACCTTCTGAAATAGCCCCAACTGTCCTACTACTTGTGTGGCCCCAGCTCATTCCTACTTCAAGAAGAACCAAGAGAGAGACTCAACATGGGGCAGTCTGCTGGCTTGATAAAGCAAGATCGAGCCAGATCAATAGGGCATGAGTTAGAGAAATTATGGCACGGCTCCACTGTGTGGCTGTTAAGAAGAAAGAGCTAAATCGTTCTGCACAGACATGGAAAGATCCCTGCCATTGCTCTCAGGATGAAGACCAAATCTCCCCAATGCTCTCTGCAGTCCAGCCTCACTCTTCCCTTCTCTTAGTTCCTTGGACAAGCCATGTTCCTTGAACCTCAGTCTGAGCTATGCCTTTGCACAGGCTGTTCCCTCTGCTTATAATACTCTTTCCCTGGTAATCCACCCCTCTGACCTCAGGTCAGAGCACAGGCCTTCCTTGACCCTGGGGTCTAGGTCAAGTTCCTCATTTGTAAAACCATGTACCTTTCCTCCAAATCCCTCCTCTCTGTTTGTAATTTCACATTCACTGGCATGATAGTTTGATTAACTCTTCCCCACTAGATGATAAGGAGCATGGGAGCAGGAATCCTGTCTGTTTTTGCTTACCATGGCACCTCCAGCACTCAGCACAAAAAGTGCATGAACAATAAACAAAGCATCACAAACAAATGAACAAATAGGTAAGTCACATGAGAAAAATAACTTGTGCAGTAACAGCAGCTACAGCATAAAACAATTTGGGTAGAAAACAAATATATGAGAGACGATGTAGGAAAAGGGACATTGCAAAGATGAAATATTCTAGATCTGTGCCACTAGACACACACGACTACTGGACACCTCAGTGGCTATGTAACAGAGGAACTGAATTGTCAATTGCACGTGATTTTTATTAACTCAAATTTAAGTAGCCACAGGTAGCAGTGGCCACCATATTAAAGATTGCTGCTCCAGACTGTTAATAGTGGCACCAGTAGGAAGTGGGAATTGGGGGGAGAAGGTTTTCATTATTTTATCTCAGGCACTTCTGAAACTCTTTGAATATTTATGTATGACTTGTGCAATAATGCTCTTTTTGGACAAGTGCCTTGGCTATGTTAGTTTTTCTAAGTAGTATTTTATAGCCAACAAGGCTAGAAGTTCATTACTTTTAGTTTTTTGGCCTTTGCATAGAACCTGAGATTTTTTTTTTAATAATACTTGTTTTAAAACACAAAATTGCAAAAGAGATAATAAAAGAAGAAAGGGCAACCTGGCAAAGAGATAGGGAGGGCTTCGGAACCAACCCCAATATCTATCAATAGTACATGAATAAGTGATCCGTGGTATATTCACTCAATGGGACCATATCCACTAATGAGAATAAACACCCTGTTGCTACGTGCAACGACATAATGCTGAGTGAAAGAAGCCAGGCGCAAGTGAGTTTGTACAGCAGGATTCAATTTACATAAAGTTCAAAGACAAAACCAAACTAAGAGGGGGGTTACTCGGGAGCAGGGGCAGTGACTAGAAGGGGGCAGGAGGAGGGTTTCAGGGATGCTAGTCATGTGCTGTTTCTTGTTCTGGGTGATGATTACACAAGTGTGTTCACCATGGGAAAATTCGTGAAGCTGCCTGTCTGTGCTTTGTGACCTTCTCTGTCTGTGTGTCACGGTTCAGTAAAAAGTTTATAGTACAAAAAAGCAACAGGTCTTGTGACTGGGACATCTTACCTGGAAGTCTGTGCCTAGGTCTTTGGTCAGAAGAATCTCCTTGGAGGGCCCCTGGGAGCCCAAGGCGGGCAGCGATGAGAAGGGCTCGGGCTGCTCCTTGGCAGAGCTGCCGAGGACTGAGTCTGCCTTTCGCGTGAAGGCGTTGAGTTCCTGCTGCAGCACGCTCAGCCGCACCAGGATGGCATGGATGAGCTTGGTGTCCCTGGGGCTTTCGCTGTTGTCAGGGGCTTCATGCAGCCGAAAGTCAGCACACTCATTGTCCAGATACAGCCGGAGGCCCGCTGAGAAGCCGTTGGCATCGGCCACCAGGACGTCGATGGCCTTGCTGACCAGGGTGGCCTGCTCCCTCAGGCTAGGCAGTGCCTCGGCCTCCCTGGCCCTGCAGAGCCGGGCCGCATGAGGCTCATGGGCCTCGCCAGGGGGAGCGGGCACGCACTGGGCAGAGTCCCCGGCCTCAGCGTCCGTCTCCAGCATTGGCCGCGTGCTCTGGCAGGAGGCGAGGTCACAGCGCTGGAGGTTGGAGAGCAGCACGCGGTTCTCATACTGGAGCTTCTTGACCTTGCCACTGAGCTCGCCGATCTGCAGTTTGGCGGCCGCCAGCTCCTCCTGTGAGGGCTCGCTGAGCACAGAGCAGCTGTCCTCCGACAGCGTCACGTCCAGCTCGTGCTCCGAGCGGTACTTGGCCAGCTCGCTCAGCAGCAGCTTGTTCTGGTCCTCCAGCTCAGCCGAGGAGCGCCGCAGCAGCTCCGCCTCCTCTTCCACGAACTGCAGATGTCGCCGCAGCTCGGCCAGGCTCTCCCCGCACTCGCTGCCGCCCAGCGCAGAGAAGGCCAGCCGCGCTTCGGGCCCCCCACAGCCGCCGCCATGATCCTTCATGTCATCCATCTCGGCCCGCAGACCTCGGTTCTCCACCTCCAGCTCCACAATGCGGCGGCTCAGCAGGTTGGCTTCCTCCTCCACCAGCTTCAGGTGCACCTTCAGCTCAGTCTCCCGTGAGTGGGGTGCATCGGCCAGCTCCTCGGCCGACAGGGCACCATCCAGGTCCCCATAGAGCGAGCGGTACTTAAGCAGCTCCTCCTTCATGCTGTCGTTCTCCTTGGCGAGCTTGGTGAGCTTCTTGCACATGAGGGCTGACTCCTCCTTTGCAAAGTGCAGCTGGCATTTCAGGTCTGCACTGTCCTCCTGGGGCCCGATGGCACGCGGACAAACATGAACCAGGAAGGTTAGTGTTGGGAGGCTCAGTACGGGCCACAGCATTTTGGGGAGCACTAACTACATGCTGGGAGCACAGGGATGGATCAGATGCAGCCTGACCCTCAAGGAGCTGGGGGTCCAGAGAGGAAGCAGAGAAGGGGACGATGATACTGCAGCAAGAATGGGGCACCACACACAGCCTAGGAGCTGAGAGCAGGTGACATTCTGATGGGAGACTTACCATTACTATACAGTTTCCTCATCTGTAAAATGGGGCAATAGCATTCCCCACCTCCCAGAGCCATGGATGGCATTAAATGAGATAATGATGAAAAATGCCTGTCACCCTGACAATTTGGCACCACCAGAAGCCAGGTGCTACACAGCACACCATTTAATTCTTACAACAACCCCACAGGCTAGGGATAGATGAGGAAACTGAGGCCGGAAAGTTGAAGTGACTTGCTCCAATCACATAGCATCCAAGTGGCAGAGCCAAGATTCAAGCCTGTGTCTCTGAACCTACACCTTTGGATTTGATCGTCGTGCTGTTCAGTAAGTCGGCTTGCTGTTCTTGGGGAGACAGAGCAACAAGAGCGTGGGCTCGGGGCAGTGAAGCTAAGCAGATGAGCAAGGGGAGGATGGGGTAAAGCTGGGAGGAGTGGGCACCTCTGGGGACTCCCCAGGCCACCTGGGGTTAGGCTCCGGCCTTCAAACTAAAGCTGCTGTGGGGACTGCTGGGAATACCTGCATCGAAGCCTTCTTGTCTGTCTTCCCCAGGGAGCGGGTTCCTCTTTTCTTCAAGGAATGCTGGAGGGAGATAAAAAAGTCAGAACTGAGAACTCACAAGGGTAACACATCCAAAGAGCAGTCTTGGTGCCTAGGGTTGCACTGAGGGCCCGCTCACTCCCCAGCCCAGCCCAGCCCAGCCCAGCTGTATCAAGGCCTTCACCAACACCAACGGCTGAGCTGGAGGGACCCTCAAGACCACCCCAGTAGGCTGCAAACAGGGGACAGGCCAGAAGCACTTGAGGAGGTGATTCTGAACACACCTGCCCAGGGTTTCTCCCCTCTTTCCCCACATTGTGATCCAGTTGGCCTGGGCCAAGACCTGGAAATCTGTATTTCTGCTCTTGTTTGTCTTTCATTGATTTATCAAAGATTTCCTGAGCACTGGTCATGCACCAGGCACAGTGAGGAACAGCTATCATGTTCCAGACACAGTTAAGTGTAGAGAACACAGCAATGAATGAGACAGACAAGGTACCCGGGACGATGCTGTGGTGGTTCTGCCCAGATCTCCCTTCAGGACTGAGACACTCATTCTCCCAGCTAAGACCTTTAAGCTGAGCACCCCTGGAAGTGATGGCCATTGGTTGAAGAGGTCATGTGCCCTCCCTGTAGGGAGCCCACATCCAAGGACTGGTCCGTGCCCCCTGCCTCAACCCTAAAGGGCCAGTCTAGGTCCTGAGCTCCCTATGGTATCATCTGAAGCCACTGGTGAGACTCAACTTCTCCCTCTGCCTCCTTTCCTGATGATGTTATTCCCAAGGGGACTCTTCCATAAACCTTTGCATACAGATCTCCATCTTGGAAAGAAATCTTGTCCTCAGGGAACTAACATCTGGTGGGAACTTTAATTCAGAATGAATACTAATTAACAAAATGAATACTGGTGCAACAAATCAAAATGACACAGGGGGCTTAGAAATGATCATGACAGACTGATGACAAACAGTGATTCAAATATTTAGAGCAAGAGCAAAAAAAAAAAAAATCGATACATTTGATCACACAAGCAAATTCCATGTAGGAAAAAATAAAACACCCTAAGAAAAGTAAAACTATGGCTGGCCCGGTGGCGCACTGCTACAGTGCGCCGCTTGGGAGCGCGGCGACGCTCCCGCCGAGGGTTCGGATCCCACATACAGACCGGTTCCCACTCACTGGCTGAGCGAGGTGCGGACGCGGCACCAAGGGTTGCAATCACCGTTGCCGGTCCCGGTCCGGTATGGGCGCGACACTGAGGGTTGCGGTCCATTGCCGGACACGAAAAAAGACAAAAAAAAAAAGGAAGAAAAAAAAAAAAAAAGAAAAGTAAAACTATGAATGATAAACAGGGAAAATATTTGCAATCTATAACACCAACAAAGGATTGATATCTTAAATTGGTAAAGAGCTTCGCAGAGAATAAAAAGGCCAACAAACCTATAGGAAAATAACTAGAGATTTGAAGAATAGTTCACAGGAAAAGAAAGGCAGATGGATCTTAACTGCATGAAGATGCTTAACTCCACTCATGATAGAAAAATGTAAATTAAAATACACCGAGATACCATTTCTCACCTATCCGATTGACAAAAAATCCAAACATCTGATAACACCTTCTATGGGTGAAGCTACGGACAAAAGAATGTTCATGGGGCCGGCCCGGTGGCGCACTGCCACAGTGCGCCGCTTGGGGGTGCGGTGGCGCTCCCGCCCGAGGGTTTGGATCCCACATACAGACCGGTTCCCGCTCACTGGCTGAGCGAGGGGCGGGTGCAACACCGAGGGTTGCGATCCTGTTGCCGGTCCCGGTCCGGTACGGGCGCGACACTGAGGGTTGCGATCCATTGCCGGTCACGAAAAAAGACAAAAAGGAAAAAAAAAAAAAAGAATGCTCATATGTTGCTGGCAAGAATGAGAAATGGCACAAGCCCTGTGGAGGGGAATTTGAGGAAATGTTACAATAATCAACACTGAGAGGTTTCTTGCTGTTTAAAAAGTTATTCAATTAGATGCATGATTCCATTAAATACTTCCTCCCAAGAGAGGGGTGGTTTGTGTGAATTGTGTATGAATGAAACGGCGCTTTGGTTGCTTTCGACTTTTCTTTTTTTTTTTTTTTTTAAAAAAAGATGACCGGTAAGGGGATCTTAACCCTTGACTTGGTGTTGTCAGCACCACGCTCAGCCAGTGAGCGAACCGGCCATCCCTATATGGGATCCGAACCCGGGGCCTTGGTGTTATCAGCACCGCACTCTCCCAAGTGAGCCACTGGGCCGGCCCCTGCTTTCGACTTTTCAAGTTGGGCTGGTTTATTTTTGAAAATGGTCCCAGGTAATTTGGACACATGCTCATCCCCAATCCCCGCCTCTCACACCCGATCCCTGAAGGTGACAGCCACTGATCTAACCCAAGCTCTGTGTTACTGAAACAAAGAGAAAGAGAGGCAGTGACTTGTCCAAGGTCCCAAGGGAAATCCATAGCTCTTGATCAAGTTCCAAATATTTGGTAGGAGAGAATGTGCCTTCTTTGACGGGGGCCAGAGTGGAGCTAGTGCAGTGGTTCTAAACCTGGGTACACATCAGAATTACCTTGAGGAACTTTAAAAATATATATTAATGCCCCAAGGTGCCACCCCCAAAGATTCTGACATAATTGGTCTGGAGTAGGTCTCAGGCATCAGTATTTTTAAATAGTTCCTCTAATGATTCTAAAGTGCAGACGAGGTTGCGAGCCACTGAGCCAAGGAGAGGAACTTCAGATGGGCTCTTAAGGATATCTTAAAACCCAATCAAATCCTAAAGAGACCTTTTGAAATGCAAGTGAGGCAGGAAGGCAAAGCCTGATATTTCAGACCCTGGGTGCCAAGAGCAAGGGAGAAGCCAGTGTTTGAGAAGAGCTGACCTAGGAATGGGGGTGAGGGTCACAAAACAAGTCCTTCCACAAAGAGCCAGGGGGCAGCAGACAACTACCAGTACGTGGGGCCTGGAGTGGGGGTGCTCAGAGGGGGACCTCACGTGCAGCGGTAAAGTGTGCATTCTGGGGTCAGACCATCAGGCTACAGATCTGGGCCCACCTATCACAAGCTGAGGGTGTGGGTGTGGGTGGGAGGGGGCTGTGGCCTCAGCCGGGAGTTGAACTCTGGGGACTCCACAACACTGAGTATGTGATCCTGGATGAACCCTTTCCTCTCCCTGAAATTCCACTTTCTCATCTATAAAACCGGGCCACGGATTAGGTGACCACAGCCCTGCAAGCTCTGCAGACTCCCTGGAGGAAGGAAGTGAAGTGGCAGGGAGGCAGGGGAACCAGGGGTCTCCAAAGGCATTACACAGGAACAAATGAGATCATGTAAAGCCATTAAGGGGCCTGGGGGATGAGACTGGCTGACACGGCAAAGGCTCTTAGACACTCTGTTAAGGGAAAGAAGTAACTTACAAGACAAAATCGACAACCCAAATATGTCCACCAACTAACTAATGGATAAACACGATGTGGTGTAGCCACACAATGGGATATGATTCAGCCACAGAAAGGAATGAAGTCCTGACACATGCTGTAACATGAATGACCCTTGAGAACATGAGGCTAAGGGAAAGAAGCCAGTCACAAAAGGCCACGTATTGCATGATTCCATTTACATGAAATGTTCAGAATAAGAAACAAAGACAGAAAGTGGATTAATGGTTGCCAAGAGTTAGGGGAGGGTGAAATGCAGAGTGACTGTTAATGGGTGCAGGCTTTCTTTTGGGGGTGACAAAAATGTTCTGGAATTGGATAGTGTTGATAGTTGCACAACTCTGTAAATATAATAAAAACCATGGAACTGTACATTTGGAAAGGCAAACCTCATAGTAAGTGAATTATATCTCAATAAAACTGTCACTAAATAGAAACACAAAACCTACAGCATATTACCCTGTTACATGATGTGTGTGTTTGGGAGGGGGTGGTATTAGTAGATGCATTGGGGGGAGTCTAAGGCTGTTAATAATGAGAATACAGGGGACCTGCACCTTGCACTTCCCCCCAGTCTTTGTTTTGGGGGGGAACAGGGAACATAGTCTTCCAAATGTTTTCCTTTTTAAAAATTTTTAAAGGCTGGCTGATTAGCTCAGTTGGTTAGAGCACAGTATTATAACACCACGGTCAAGTGTTCAGATATTAAACTGACCAGCCACCAAAAAATTAATTAATTAATTAATTAATTAAAAATTCTACAATATTTCTTTTAAAAAATCAATTAACTTACAAAAATACGTTCTCACTGTAAAAAATGTACACAAAGCAGATAAAGCCAAAGACCTCCTTTTTACACTACCCCCCATTCTCCTCCCATCCTTGGGGGTGTCCACTGATGACTGGTCTGCTGGGGCTTCTTCCAGAACTCTGGCTCTCTGTTTAATATACTGAAATAGATGGTGTTGTTTTAGACCTTCTTTCCTTCGTTTATTTGATTCTGTGATCTTTGATTTTTACAATAAGCACCTTGGGCAGAAGAAAACCCTAAAACATCCAGCATTTAAAAAAAACAGTCTATGTTCATGCTGTACGATTTTATGCGTTACAGAAACAGTATATACAATATAATCCCATCTTTACTTAAAAAAAATACACACAAATATGCATTGTATGAGCATAGAGAAGGCCTGGAAAGATACAAAGCTAATTGCTAATCATGGGTAAGTCAGAGTAGAATTGAGGAAGGTGGAGACGGAAGGCTTTCTACTTTTATTTTACGTACAGTTCTTATTATTTCTATTATTTTTGAATAGATGACACATTCACATGATTCAAAATTCAAAACATATAAAAAGGAATACAATGAACCCAGTCACCCACTTCTCCTGCCCCAAGGCAGCCAATGCAATCAGAGCCCGCCACAGTTCTCCTTTAGAGGTATGTGAGGCATGCATTTATGTGCTTTTGTAATGATATTTTTGCTTCACTGAGTTTATATCACTTTTTTAGGTAAAAAAAATATATATATATACCTATACACTTAAATACGTGTGTATGTATACATAGCAAAACTTATTGGA